GCTTTTTGGTTTTGTTTTGGTTTTTTTTCCCCTCTCCTTTGTTTTTTCTTCTTCAATTTTCAGTTCACCTAATAAAGAGTAGGAAAAAAGGAGAGGCTAAACTGTTGTAAGCCTTGAAAATGTGTGTGGTTTTCTTGTTACTCAAAATCTTGCTGGCTGCTGAGTTTATTCCACAGTATGTGATGTGAATAATAACCTGCCAAAGCAGAATGTGATTGTTCACTTGACGTGAAAGTAACGGGATTTAGAACAGCGAGTAGAAATGGAGAAGCTCACGGGTGAAGTTGGAAAGGATGTGGTAGTGTCCACCCTCATTGTGAAAACCCTTCTACTGTAAGCCTTACGGAAGGAGCTTGGCCTGCGGAGAAGAAATGATTTAATCCTTTAGGTGTTGCACACCCTCCAACCAATGCCAGTGTGCTCATGCACTGAGCGTGGTTCTGCATCAGGACTGCTCGAGAACAGAGGAAGCAGGTGGTCAGGGTTGGAAACTCTGTTGGGCAGGTAGCTGAGAGGACTGGGTCTGCCTGGAAACTTGGCTGCTACAAAGGTAGCAGACTTAATGAGATGTCTAGGTTGCTTAGGTATGGAGGGGAACTTGGCAGTCACGCACCACGTTGGTGCTAATGGCACAGGGAAGAAGATGAGTGCCTGGGAGGCTAAACTCGGGCTGCTAGGCAGGAGCCTGACTGACCAGGATCTTCATGATAGTGTTGTTTGAAATACTGCTCGTGCTGTGTCTGGGTCCCAGGAGGCAGACAGACCTCTGGTGGTGTAACGCACAGGTGAGATAAGTGTAGAGAGGAGGCTTTAATGCTGTTGGGTGTCATACAGGGACTGCAGTGTAGACATAACCTAGAAGTGGGATATCTAAGGATTGACCTGCCAGCTGAAGTGCCATTTGCTTAAACCTCAGTTCACGTCTAAATCTAAACCGATATTTCTGCATAATGGTTCAGGGAATAAGGGAAAAGAGAGCTGCAACTAATTTGAATGGGAAGTCTGAAAACCTCCGTTGCTCACAGGTGCATTGTTGATCAGTCAGTATTTCTGTGAGAAGATTGCATTTCAAAAGAAATACAGCAGTTAAAACAAAGGGAAATGAAGGTGGAAAGAAAAGAATTCTTTTTTTACTTTTTGTGAAAAGAAAATCTTTAACTACTAAAGCTCAAATTGCATTTATCTATAAATTACTGGACCAATGAAATTACACCTCTATTTACTATTATTTTGAGTACTCTCATGGTACACTTTCTGGACTGACATTTTCAGAAACTTGTAGTTATAAGCAATAGCTCTCTGTATTATTAACTTTCTGTCTCTAATAGCAGTAGATTGTTCAGCTGTTAAGCAAGTATTGCTCTCATTTTTCTTGTTTATATGTTGTCAGACTATAAATTAACTTGTGACAGTCTATGGCCAACAGCTTTTAACAGTATCTTTTACAACAAGGATGCCTGCCAGTGGAATTACTTCTGACTTACCTTGATTAAAGAACAGTAGCTGGCGTTTCTAAAACCCATTCTGAGATACATTAAGCAGACACGCCAGTGTTGACAGGAGGTGAAATTATGTAATTTTAATTTTGACATCACTAAGGATGTAAAAATAATTTAGTATCTTAGTTCTCAGAGCTCAAAGCTGGAGCTTGCGTCAGAGCCTACTTCTACTAACAGATGTTCTCTTGATCTGCAACATTTTTTTGAGGAAGGTGGTTAGTCCATCTACTGGCAGTCTCAAGGAGAAGCAGAGAACTGGCCTGCTCTGCCTACGGGCAAGTGACACTCTTCTGAAAACTTGTTGAAATATGCTTTGACTCTGTGGTAGCGATGAGACTGGTTGGGCTGTGTGCTTATGGTTACCCTCTGTACTGAGGGGCCTTAAGAGGACAAGGCTCTGTTACTTGACAATGGCCTTATATTTAAATATTTACATATATAGCAATATACAAAATATTTGTCTACATATGTAAGTATAGCTTAAAAACCAGCAGTTTTTACAGTTGTACTGCACCATTTAATATGAGGGAAGTCCCACAAATCTCCTTTTTGTTTTCCAGGGGGAGTATTTCTCCCTCCTGTAAAAATATCACCTTAAACTATGCACATTTCTTATAATATTTTGATTCATAGAATCATAGAATCGTTAACGTTGGAAAAGACCTCCAAGATCATCGAGTCCAACCATCGACCCAACACCACCATGCCCACTAAACCATGTCCCTAAGTGCCGCATCTACACGTCTTTTAAATACCTCCAGGGATGGGGAATCAACCCCTCCCCTGGGCAGCCTCTTCCAATGTTTAACCACTCTTTCAGTAAAGAAATTTTTCATCATGTCCAATCTAAACCTTCCCTGGTGCAACTTGAGGCCATTTCCTCTCATCCTATCACTAGTTACTTGGGAAAAGAGACCGA